TTCTATGTTTATAAAATTGGCACATAAAAACTTACATAGCCCTTTGCGGAAAATCGTTTCGCAGTTTTCAAGGGCAGATCTTCATTCAGCATGTCATGTACGCGTGTGATGGTGCGAATCTCATCACAAAGATTCATAATCGTTTACCAAGTATCTATCCCTATTCAGTCGTGTAGCAATATTTCTGTGATTTCAATGCTGAGTAATCGTATTCACTTCACATGTCTTCCTCAGAGCTTATTTTTTGCGTTTTTAGTTTTGTAAGAAAAATTTCGTGAAGAATAAACACGTTGCTTTTAATGTTTTATTTCATCTATTAGGTTGATGCAAAATAATGGCCGATTTTTCAGGCCTTTTTTAGAGCAACTTTTTCCATCAAAACATCTTCTTTGAAATATATGTAGCAAATCATTGAAAGGCTGCTTTCATGCTCTATCTATGGTGGTTGAAGCGCGCTTCCATCCTCATCTGTTATAAAGTTACTGAGCTTCAAATAATCGCATTTAAATTCAGAGTTTTATTAATTCACTTTTCTGGCCAGATTGGAGCGCGTATGAACGGCTTCGAAAATTTAGCTATCGTATGTAGTGAAATTGTATACGTTATGCACACCTTACTTCATTTTTTTGTGTTGTCCAGACTGAGATATCGGCGCCTCAATATGAGTAGTCGTTGCGGTCGTTTTATGACCCATAAGTTTATTTTGAAGAAGTCAATCGCCGAAGCTTTGCACAATTCTGTAAGCGTAGTGTTAGTGCATCCTACTAGCAATTTTTGCAAAAACCTCCAGCTGTTTGGTAAGCAACAAAAATTTTATATTCGGGGTTCTGAGGCATACTGAAAAAAATGTTGAAAAAAGTGACAATTCTAAATTTTAAATTTTTCCTTTTGCAGATTTTTTCTTCCAAACTCTTTTCACAATATTTTGTACTACTGGCTTTCGGCTACAAGATAGGACACTTATCCTTCATACCAACAAATTTTGAAGGAAGTCATGAACGCCAAAAACAAGGTTTCAGAAACCTTTTTTTGTTGATCCCTATTATAGTTGGAACCGAATATTTGTATTCGAATAATTTGTTGGAAATATTCGACTATTCGAATATTTAAATGATCGAATATTCGAGAGAAACCGATTATTCGATTAATCGAATAGTCGAATAGATGGATAAGGTTTTCATTCGAATGATTCGTTCATTCGACGATTTGGGAAAATAACGCATTCGAATATTCGATTATTCGAGAAGTTTTGAGAACTGTTGTTCAATATTCGAATATTCGACTATTACGTTTGGATATTCGAATATTGCACGCGAGTATTCGAAGATTGCATTCGGAAATTCCATGATATCCAGTTATTCGATTCGATCAAGTTCAGATATTCGAATATTCGTTCATTCAAATTTTGAAATGCTCCCATATTCGAATATTCGGATCCGAATAATATAAAAATCGGAACTTGAATAATATTCGATCATTCGAAAAACTTTCGCAAATCAATCATTCGATATTCATTCGTTCGATAAAATTTTCAAAAATCAGTTATTCGATATCCGTTCATTCGATGAAAATTTCCGTTCGTTACAACTATAATCCCTATTTTGCTGCCCGTTTGTGATATGAGTATAGGTAAATGTGCGCTGCATAGCAAGGTTTGCTGCTTCTTACTTTTTTTACTAAATTCAGAAATATGGATTTCCCAGAAAGTTATAGCACGTCAAAGTGAGAAATCGCAAATCGGCCATTATTTTTGCATTAACCTAATACTTTAGAACACGATGTGAAAAAAAAACGGTCTCCTAATATCATATCACAATGCCCCCTACTAAACATTTCTCTAATAGAAGACTTAGAAGACTTCTGGTAAGAAGACGAATTTGCCATTTTTTAGCCTCTGCGGACAACTGGTCTTCTTGTCATGTTGTTGCATGTCTTTAAGGACCAGTAATCCACGGAGGCGGCCCAAAATGGCGGAGCTCGTTCTTCTAACCCAACGATTTTTCGCTGCTGATTGCTCAAGAAAAAAGAGGTTGTTGCTCAAGACTTTCAGACAATAACAAAAGAATAGATGAAAAGGAAGAGCAATGCCTTTTGGTGAATCACCTCTTAACCCAAAACCTTTGCAAATATATAAAGTTGAAGACTAGCTGGGTGATCCAGTACAATCACACTTATGCCATGAAATCGTAGGTTAAAATCCGGTTCTTTTCTTCTCTTGCTGCAGAACTTTACGGTCCAAAACCACACAATCGGAATGGTGCGAAAGCGACACGATCTCTACGCTTACTGCCAGTCTGCGATAGCCGTATTACACTTTCTTCTTTGGCGCGTTCATACTACAAGAAACTATGGTGCTCCTGGAAATTTTTAAGTTCACCGTGAAAAGAGATCTTCTAAATTAATTCAACGATTCATGAAATTATCTTAACCACCTCTAAAGGAAAACAATTCATCCGAGTCTTCTGCATGTGAACTTTTTTCAGAAATTTCGTTCTCTCCCTCCTCCCCCCCCCCCCCCCGACCACTTTTCCGCCCGCTACTCTCAGACAATCACAGGCTCTCAGCCGGCAGCCACAAAGCCACCGCGAAAACCCACCAAAAGCGCGGTGGCCTCATCGCCTCACTGTCGCTTCCCGCTGAGAACTGGCAGCGAGCGGGCTGCTATATAATAGCCTTCAGCGCGAAACGAAAAACTTTCAGCACGAAGAGAAAGCGGCGGTTTCGCTTCGCGCTGAAGGCTTTATAGCAGCCCGCTCGCTGCCAGTTCTCAGCGGGAAGTGACAGTGAGACGATGAAGCCACCGCGCTTTTGGTGGGTTTTCGCGGTGGCTTTGTGGCTGCCGGCTGAGAGCCTGTGATTGTCTGAGCTGTTTGAAATTTTGACTTTGTTCCATCACATGTGGCGTCCGTTTGAAAAAAGCGAAATTACTTTCGGAATGACCTAATAGAATTCAAAAGTGCACCACCCAATCAGAAATTTGAAATTAGTTTAAAAAACTAACAATACGGCGTCTTGCCTGTAGGTCCATTGAAGACTTTGAGGCAAGAATTATAGCAATCAAACAAAAATGATTGCTGATTTCTATAATACCAATCTTCTAAGCTGAATAAAGTAATAACTCATCGGACTGTGAGAACTGGCACGAAATCAAGAACTTTAAACACCGCGAAACAAAAGCATTACCACTGTACTCGGATATATGATTAGAGCGTAAAATAATTTGTACAAATTTTCCGTTTTATGTGGTGTTATTTAGGTTGTGTTGTTCTACAGTGTTGTGTTTGACAACACCAGTCACTTTGATAGCTCATTGTCCGGTTCAACTTCAATACTATCAGAATGCCAAAAAATAATTTCGGTCGCTTTTGTTGATTTCGGAAATGTCACGGATAAATATGTGTTGATGTACGGCATTATTGGAAAGGGTAAGTTGAGCGAAATTGGACGGTTATTATGTTTGCTCAAAAAAAATTTTTTTGATGACGAGCTGGAGAGGAAAGCAAAAAGCTAGAATTTTTCGTCGAATTTTCGAAAATGCGTCAAAAACCATACTAAAATTCAATGTAGAGTGCACGAATGGTACGCACACCGATTTTGCTATATCCAGTCACTTGCATGACCATGGATGGTCACAAGCTCTGGACTACCCGAATTTGATCTTTGCGCACAAACGCCTAAAAACTTTTTGGCTATAAAAACTCCCAAACAGTAGGTCAAAATTTTGATTGCAATTTGACATATAGCCAAGAGTGCGAAAAATGAATCAATCAATGTGTAAGACCCTTTGTAAGGGGGGGGGGGGGAGGCAGGTTCAAAATAGTCATTTTGAAACATTAACGGGTTCTTAAACGCGATCGAAGTTGTCGGAAGACCGAGCTTGTTGTTTGCTTCTAAAGATCTAGTAATTTAAAAGTATGTCATATAAAATTTTCGTACTTTTCCGCTGTCCGGACCCATTTTTCAAAATGTTGAAATACGTGTTTCAGGCTAGAAATTTTTTTCATAGATTTTGTGAGGACTGTCTCCTTGCCACTTGTCAAGATAAAAATTAACTCGTTTAAGGCCAATCTGATCTTTTTTCGAAATCATTTCCAGCGAGGTACGAGAGTCTTTGAAGTGAGTCAAAACCTGTTTAGGGTTCTTCTATAGAATCAAAACAGTTTTTAACGCTTGTCAAAACATCTTGGTAGCTTTCAGCAAATTTAGAGAAACCCTGCTCTTTACGTTGTCTCTGCCATGCGAATTTAGCCGGGAAAGAATATAAATGATGGCATGAAGTACCTGGCTGTCGATTGTTTCGTCTTTCAAATGATGGAACAATAGCTCACTTTTCTGTTTTGGGAAAACCTAATGTGTTTATTGAACACAGGATCTCATGTTCAATAACATTAGAGCCCATTTATGAAACCGTTGATAAAAATGAGGTCATTATGAAATAAAAACAGATTAAAGTTGCATTGATAGGCAGGCTAAACAAACTCTTGTTAAAAATGTTAAACATGTAAGGACATGTCACTTTTTTTGACACGTGGCAGGAGATTGACTCTCCATCGTGTGAGGTTTTCACCAAATTTGGTACAAGGAAAAAAGCAATATCCTTTTCTGAAAAAATGGGTCCGGATAGCGGAAAATTATCGAATTTTCATACACATTGTACTTCGCAATTGTGTAAGTCTTCTGGGCCCTGCTTACCGCTTGACCACTTCTTTACGGATTCAGGGTCTGCGTGCCAAAGTAACGCACACTATCCAAGGAAAAAAAGAAAGGGACTAGGAGCAAGATTTAGCATTGAAACCTTAAAAACTTGTCAAAGCTAACTTCTTGTCTGTCTCGGTTCTCTAGAAAATGCGTAAATACCACTAACACCTTTTTTTACTTGATCCTTTATCAAAGCTCTCGCATTGGTGTTGTTTAACTTCTTCGAGTCTTTTGCACCTTTGTCCGAAGTTTTGCGTAATCGCTTTATTGAAAGTAATCTTCTTGTTGTCTGATAATATTAAACTCTCTTCAATTTCACCAATGACAATGAAGTACCTACAAGAATGGCAACTTTGAGTCCGTTTTATTACCAAGACTTTGAACACAAGTAATTCGGAAAGCACAATATCAAATCACATTCGAGATTTTACACGTAATATCATAGTTAGAAAGTCCTTTGCAGCATAGAGATAACCTGCGATAAATGAACAGCATTGATTAGACCCACTTTGGTTTGGATGTAGTAGATGCGGTCATTTCGCGCGAGTGAGAGTCTATAGTTCTTCTAAGGGGTTTTGGCACTTCAGCTGTATCCAAATTTGGAAGGCTTTGTTTTTGATTGATACTACCAGTTTTTATAAGACTAGGGCGGGAACTGGTCGACACATGCGGTTTTGAAGGCACATTTTGTGATTGCTCTTCTTCCCTTCGCTTTGGTGATGCTTGGCTTAATCTACGGGTGTTATTTTGATGTTTCTCACTGATGGTCGTCGGTGGACTGCTCATCCGACGATTCGGCGCTGTAGACGATGGTGGTAGTGTCACTTTTTTTGGAAGCATGGTGTTTGTCCTTGTCGGAGCGACAGTCCCATGGCTTGAGGTCCCAGCACTTGCTCTAGCTTTAGTTATTGAAGAAATGTGAGCGGGAGGTTTAAGTTTGGAATTAGGAGTTTCTTTGACCGGATGGGAAATGTGTACAGCGACGGCAGGTTTACGATCCGTAATAGGCAAAATTTTATTGGTTTGTGCTGTGAGTGGCCTCTGAAATTAACTGATTACAACTGGTGTTACGATTGTTATGGATATTTGTCTACTAGTCTATTTTAGAGGTTCATGGCAAAAAGTCTCAAACTGAAACAACTATATGTGCTCCCATTCGTACACACCAATTCTGCGGTTAAAAAACGTACCTCTGCCGATATCGCTTTAGTTTTCGTAGCTTGTAGAGAAGAGAACCGCGGAAAGACAGAATTTCCAAGCTTTTGAACAGTTACCTGTAAAAACGGAAACCATTTGAAGAGCTGAGCTTTCGGAAAAAATTCGAAAAAATCTCATCTACATTGGTCGATTTGGCGATAGCTTTGTTTTTAACAAATGGTTTTTCCACTTGAACGGGTTGTGCGAGACTTCCAGATTTGACATTTTTGGAAAATTTTGCATTCACCTGCAAGTCGAATTAGTAACCTCAAGCTGTGCTATAATTATGAACTCAAAGGTTGTCGAGAAGAGTCCATGTTCTTCAAATAGCAAATGAAGTTCCTGATTATGTTAGACAATCATCCAAAATAATTTTAACGTCAAAATGCAATTAATGATGTTTTATTTGTCACAGACGATTTTCTGCCATTCTGCCGTCAGACAAAAGATCGTTTCAATATAGAAACAAACACGATTTATACAGTTTGCAGAAGAGCAGACAAATAATAACCTAATGAGTAAGGTCTAAGGAGTACTTTTCGAGCTATGTACCTCTCATTGTCTTGAAAGACAGTTTTGACGACCTTTGCCGTATGTAGTCATGTTTTGTCATGCAAAAAAAAACCCATCAAACTTGTTCAAGGCTTTTTTTTGCAGTAGAAAATAGTTTAGACGGTACAGTTAGGTTGTAGCGACCGTTTTCTTCTTGTCCAGTAATTTTTAAAGCAGAATCCATTCGCTGCACAAAAAGTCTTGTTTAGAAGACAATAATTTATCATCTATGCCAATACTGGCAACCGCAACTGCACCGTCTGTACACTCGCACCACTGCTCTGCCCTTGCGGCATTCTCTGAGCCAGTGATATAACATGGGTGACCTTGTTAAACTTACCTGCAAATTCTCTTTTCCTTTGCTCGCCACTTCTTCGTCAACTTTTTTCGTAGGAAGCGACTCGGGCCGTTTCGTTGGAACAGTCAGATGTTTACCATCACCGTTTTCTGCAACACGAAATCTTTACATCCCACTTGGATTAATTTTTGAAGGTTATACCTTTACGACGCATGATATCATGTTTTTGAGGCTCCATCAACGTCTTCGTTAGTGTTGTGTTTCTACCATGTTGTGGTGAGCTCTTAATTTATACCATCAATCCAGTTATAATCTAAGCAGCAGGTTGGCAGCTTACGTGCTTCTCTATGGTTTCCACGTAATCATTTAGATCAGAAACCTCTACTGGGAGCAAAGGTGCAGTCTGTCGTATCTTGATGTGTTTCTCTTTGTGATGCTAAATTGTCGATATCAATGATTAAGCCTAAGCTCTAACGAAGCTCTCTCCCTCTCGCCATTTAGCGTAAGCGTTACACATAAACGCGCTCATTAACCCTTTTAAAGCTAAAACGAAAAAAGAAATTTGCCCGAATAAATAACCTTCACGTTTTGTCTTATTGTCATTTCTCAATTAAAACATATACAGGAGTGCAAAGTTTAGGGTTGTATTATAAAGGGTGTCTAAAAAAATGTGAACATTGTTTGATCGCTAATGACTCTCTTTCTTTCATGTCTTTCGCCGAAGTTGAGGTGCCATTCTGTAGAGCGAGGTTCAACTTAGAATTTCAGGATAAGGCAAATCACCAAACACGTTACTGTAGGATAACGGTAGGAACTTCGGGAAAAATCTTGGGAAATTGAAAGCGATTTTAGCCTCAGAAAGAAAATCAAACAAGCTGGAAACTTCTGCACTGGACTTATCAAAGTCGCTGATTCTGAGTATGTAATTTGCACTTCACTGTAATGCTTCTCTTATTGCTATTTTAGGTTTAAAGTAACAACTGTTTTTCCACTGTGCGTCGGAAAGTGACCACGCCATTGAAAAAGCCCGAAAACTGGTAAGAAGTTGTGTAGTGAAATCGGTACGCCTGATAGCCTTGCTACAGAAAGTTGTGGATTTCTGGAATTTCTTTTATCAAAAGGCCTATTCCGCAGTGGCGCTATATGCTAAAAGTGTCTACCGTAATCCTGCATTAATGAAGGGCGAGTGGTGATTCGCTCCATACATTGCATCTAAGTTGAACCTCGCTCTACAGAATGGTACCATATCGATGAACGACATGAGAGCAAGAGAGTTATCAACGATCAAACAGTGTTCACATTTTTTGGGACACCTTGGATATCATTTACTTCTGAATTTAAACTGAAAAAGGTAAGTATATTGGATTTTAAATTCGCTTACTAGAACTGACTAAGCGGAGTGTTGTATTTTTGAGGCAAAGATCCAATTATTGAAAAGATTGAGTATTTTTGGATGACGACTGCGACTTTATGCGTTTCGCAATGCGAATACTACAAATTATCTTTTAGGGCTTAAATTCCCTGTCAAGAATTCCCTCGTCATTTCTGCGGCATTTGCCTTGTTGCGGGCCACCCAGTATTCTTTGATTTTAATTTATACATAAGTAGTCAAAGCGACGCATATTGTCTTGTATAACAGCATAAATCGTAAACGAATACAGGAAATGAGAGCGCCTCCGTTAGATTTTATTTACGTCATAGATCACAAAAATGACAGTCACAAAGCTTAATTAGGGAAAAAGACTATGTGTAAGTGAAGCGTAAAGAGGAACTTTTTCGCCTTACACGGTGCGATTGAAGAGTTAGAGCCGAGCGTACTACGTATGACTGATCTCCTTGCGATAATTTGACGATCTTGAAACCCTTCTTTCTGTTGAAATTGAACTCTTCTCATAATTGTTAGGCATATTCGTCACCTTTCTTAGGGTGCCTTCATACCGCGCCGGCAGCCGCCGCCAGCAGCCCGTAGCAGCCCGCAGCAGCCTCAGCAGCCAGTAGACGCCGCTGTCCGCTTTTGTTGTAGGAGCGCAAAATCATCAATCACCTTACTACCTTAACACATTCACGACAATACGACCCACCGGTGGGTCGTACGTGTTCTGCCGTCTCGGACAATACGACCCACCGGTGGGTCGTACGTGTTCTGCCGTCTCGGACAATACGACCCACCGGTGGGTCGTAAGATTCCTGAAGCTCTAGCTTTGCCAGTATGCGATGGAATTCTACGAGGTTCTGGCACACGATTGGGGACACCTTGGCGAAGCTCCAGCGGGAGTGGTCCAGGTTCGGGATACTGTAATGTAATGTTACGGTAGGTATACCGTAGATAGAGGCCAGGCACAGACTTTAGCTCAAATTTTTCGCAGAGTGGCGCTGTTTATGAAAATTCAAGTTTACATGCACGAGAAATACAGGGACGGCACGAGGCTGATATCAGCCCCATCAAAAATTATCGAATCTATTGATTTTATTGATTTTTTGCATTGTTCATCCCAGGAAGCTCAAACCTTATATACATAGGTTCTTTAGCATGCTGATTACGAAAATGATAGTCTCAAGTTCTAATACCGCCTTCTTACATCAGTTTCTTGATTCTTACGAAAATTCTATCGTACTGCTACCGTATAATCGCACCGTGGGAAACTAGTGAACAAGTGGATATTATAAACATGATCAGCACGTAAAATAACTCCAATACACAAATTTTTATGAAAATCCATGATGTTTGGTTCGTACAGAATGACTACCGTAACCTTACCGTATAATGTTAAAAACTGAAATAAATTATATTTTGGTAATCAGCGCCTTCGATAACCCTTGCGGGGAAATTCTCAGTGACACGTTTTGAATTTCTTCCAAAAAGACTACCATTTCGGACAATACGACCCACGGGTGGGTCGTAAGTTTGACAGAGCAAAAAAGGCTTTGGTCTGAAACGGCAGTAATCGAAAAATCAGCCTTGTCGTAAATGTGTTAAGTGCAACCGCCTAAGCTTTTCATCTTCCACGTTTTTCTTCCTGTTGGAGCCGGTATGCAATATGATCTCATATATCACACTTTCCAATTGTTATCAGCTTGTTGCCGTAGGGTTATCCTACTGATTCAATTTCCTCCTCGCAGTTGAACCATAGTTCTATAAAGTTTCTTCGCGGTGTGATTTCTTCTGGCTTTGGATGCATCCAGTTTTTGCAGTTGTGCTATTTGTTTATTTTCGAGAACGGTTCAGCTTCAATCTTTTTTTGGCTATGGGTGCTTGTTTTGGATATCTCCTGTTTTGGATATCAGTGTGTGAGCGTCGAACTGCGCATTAGCGGCAATAGGAAGAAAAAGCGTGGAAGATGAAAAGCGAGGGCGGGTGCACTCAAAGTTGTAAGAATTTGATGGTTATGGGTTCTATGATGAAAGTGGCCAGCGGCGGCTACGGGCTGCTGGCCAGCTGCGGACTGTTACGGGCTGCTAAGGTAGGTGCCAGAGTAAGCGAATATTTTGTTCAAGTTGGGGTCCCGCGCAGAACTGGTATCACTAATCATTGTGGCACAACGCCAAGTTGGCATTATGCCACAATGATTAGTGATGCCAGTTCTGCGCGGGACCCCAACTTGAACAAAATATTCGCTTACTCTGGCACCTACCTAAGGGTGCTAGCGGCGGCTGCTGGCGCGGTATAAAGGCACCTTTGGCTGTTTGAGTTACCGAGCAATGTATTACTGGACATATATAAGTGCGCCAAACGAAATGGTGCACCGGGCGTCTACTTATTTCGTCTTTCTTCTGCATTGTTATCCGCGATTACCCTCTTCGATGTATTCGACTTTACACATTAAGCGTCACATCAAATTCAAGTTAAACTTTTCAAATCGGGGAACTCTTCCGGCTGCTGCCAAACTCTTTCAAAAGTATTTTGACATGCTCGTCTAGAAACTACCTTCTAGGACTACTCCCGAAAAATTACCTCCTTATTCTCCTTATCCATAACTTTGGTGCGGTCGCGTTCGTCGTCGACGTTGCCATTAATTCGGCTCTCTTTAAACTTTCGTACTCTCACGGTTCTTGCAGCTTCTCCTCCACGTGTCAACTCGTCTGTTACTCGTCTTCGGCTTCTGAAGGTCAAGAATAATTCTGTACCATGCTTATAACTGATCTGCCCTACTGTTTGCTTTGTTTTGTTTCAAGTGTGGCAAAAAATGCTTCATCTTGCCGAGTCACTTCTTCTTTTGATGATATGTTTTCTTCAGCATGTAGAACACCACCTTTCATCCTAGACCTTCTCTCCACACGTTCTTCGTTTTCCTTGAAAAATTGTCATTTACGAGCCGTCGGGCATTGATAAACGAGCACCTGTAGAGCTTGACGAAGTCGAATGATGATCATTTTGAAAATTTTCAAGCACTCCTCAATTTTGAAAGAGGATCCATCTTCGCAAAAGAATGTTGCAACATCCTTCTGCATAACGAAGAAGTCATTGAGAGATCTGTTAGTTTCTTCCAACTCAATACGGCAATGATCCTGAACGGAAGGAAGAAGGACATGCAGCTGAAGCTCATCAAGAACACCAGGTAATTAAAGCGTGTTTCGGACTATGGTGCAATAACAAGTCAACCTCCAAATAATCTCGCATTTCTGCAAATTCGCCGCTGTTGTTCGTCGCAAGTTGACGACCAAGTGATGAGCACTGCTCATCAAGCGTTCTCAAATTCGTTTTGATCTCCTCCACCGAAATTCTGTAAGAGTAATACGCAAATCAATAAACTAGTGTCAAGCGAAATCAGGAGAATACGACAAAAGCAAAATATATTCTGTTTTTCTTCTAGGTCTTTTAAAGCAGAGACTTTGAAAATGTTTCAACAACAGTGCTTGGCTTTTTGCATAAACTTTATAGGGCAAAGTTTGTAATCTCAAAATCGACACCTGTTTTAAGGTAGAATGCATCAAGCTTTCACACCTTGAACTATCACAAAAGGAAAAACTTTACATGTTGTATCGGATTCATGCAATTCTACCTTTCTTTTGAAAATTAACCAACTCACTCTGATGCTTTGGTTATGCTTTGAAGATCGGACTCAAGTCCACCAAGGAGATCAGGATCTTGCTGAAACACAGACTGTAGATTTACATTTGCAACAATCTCCCAATTCAACTCTTATACTTCGCTGGCTCGCAATCCCAGTTCATTAAAGCACATCCTTTTGGCTCAGGCCAGCCGGGCGTAGCTAATTACAGCTGCTCAAGATGGGGTTGGGATATTAAGCTCTAACAGTGAACTCCACACGCAAGCGAGGGCCCTTTCTCCCCCTTTTCTCCACCCGACATCTGATGGTCCAAAATCGAAATTTACTATAGCCTCGCCGTAACACCTGTGAACTTCACACACGTTACAAAGAAGATCTTCAGTGACAGTTAAACAGGCAACATTTTTGAGAGAATGGAGATGTCATCGCAGCTGATTAATAACAGTTGCTCAAAATCGCGAGTCAAGGAACCCCTGGCCGTGACAGAACCGTTTCCTTTTTTTATTTTTCCGTTCCACTTTTTTAAGCGACTTATAAGAGATACTATGATATGTGATGTAAACTTCACTACACTACGAGACAAGGGATCGCACACCTTTATTGTTGTCATCGCTGTAAACCATGGTTGTTAAGCACTCAAAAAAATGAGATCATCTTTCTTCTTGTGTCTTTCCTCTTCCTTCCTCCATGTACTACCTTACTTGACTTGCTCTCATGTGCAACCCCTTTTATTGTCATTATTATTATCATAACGCAACTAAGTATCCGTTTTTGTTACTCACTCATTATTGTTCGTAGGTAGAGTTATCAAATTTGAGCGCAGACCCGTAGCTACCGCTCTGAGAAACCCTCATCGCGAACTAAGCAGATGTTACATCACAAAAGATTACCTTGGCTACAAGATGCAGCAGCGAAGAAGATCCTTTTGCTGCCTTGTGATCGATTATCTTCCACAATGAGCTCATCTTGAAACCTGCCGCATTTCCATGAGACGAGGAAGAGTTCAAGTAATTTCCTATGTTGACAAGGAGTAAAAGTAGATGACGAAGTGCGCTAGATTGTCGAAGTTCTAGAAGGCAAAGGTGCGTGCCATTATTGAGAGAACATTCTCTACAAAAAATGCACACCTGTACAGGCAACTTTGAGCAAATGTAGATTTGGAACAACGTCTTCCATAACACGATGAAATTCGAGCCTCAGCAGCATGCATTCAATCCTAGGTGTAAAAATAAGAAACAAAATTGGTTAGAGATGTCTGGCTAACCTAAGGCGGTAATTGGGAATATCTATGAGACGAAGAAAGAAAGAACAAGCTGGAGTAAGCTGTGCCACCTCTCCAGTGTATCTCCGCAAAGCATCTACCTGAAAAAACTAATGAGCGACCTTTACATTGTTACCATATTGAGAACCTCTTCTGCTTCTGGCAAGATCATCTTTAGCGTACGCAGCAGTTCGATGTCGAAGCGTCCAATTTTGTTTGCGATCAAATCGGATATAATCAGATCCAAATCCTAAAAGCTGCTGGAATTTATGCGAAAAAGCAAAGAACGGATTTAATATACCTTGAACTGTTTTAGCACAATAGTGACATTTTGACTTCTCTTAGGAGTGAGAAGATCCACAAGCAAACTTTTCTTGGAGTGCTGTAGAAAACGTTTTGACATTATTAGAAAAATATACAGAAAGGTTTTCAGCACTTCTTTTAGTGTGCTTGAAAAATGACTTTCTTATAGTGTAAAAGCATGCGTACCACAACGGAAGACTGATTTTGAGTTGTAGATTCGTGAGTAGGTGCGATAGAAAACATTCCATCAATCATGTCAAAATCGAGACTCAAAGCTAAAACTATCAGACAGACTCCGTACTCAACACCGACACTGATTCTAGTGGACGTACTTGCATTCTCACGCGCCAATTCTCCCCAAATGCTTTGCGATCCCTGTCCTTGTACCACCAGTGTTGGAGATATCTTTGACCACTGAAAGCGTACAGGAATGGCAAGAGTTTATGCTATATATGAAAGAATTATCACAATATGCATTATAATAATATTAATCTTATATATAAAGCTGAATGTCTGTCTGTATGTATGTCTGTATGTCTGTCTGTACGTATGTGCGGAATAGAAATTCTTATTTCTGAACCGATTTGGACCAAACTTGGCACACATATACTTCGGGGCAGGGAGCGTGTCATAGGCTACTTTTCGTTACCGATCGATCGATTTTTATCGATTTTTTGCAAAGTTTGAGCTACAGGGCTGGGAGTTGGCACAGGGGGGTAAGTGGGCATGCTGATTTCGAAAACAACACAGGGAACGGGAAATGAAGTGTGAAAGTTGGCTCAGGGAAAGGTGTAGAGGGATAGGGATGGGACTTTATGACAGTGTTTTGACAGGCCGAGCGGAGCCGGGTAAGCAAGCTAGTTATATAGTAATATTATAATAATTATCATTGACTCACCATGATCGTTTTCATCTTCAATGTCTTACTAGGAGATCTTTTAGGCTTCATTGATTGCGGCAGCTCTATATTCTCCTTTGTTGAGAAACCAAGTGCAGCTGGAGGAGGAGGTGGCGGCGGACCTGCACAAATTTGGGCTATTAGCTTTGATGTGAGAAATTTCAGGAAAGACTATATTTGAAGGAAAGAAATTCGCTGCACGAATTTTCTGGTTTATTGTTCAAGCTAGTTTTTTATGAGTTGAAGATGTAAACTTTGAAATCTGAAAGGGTATGGGTCAGTGACTAAAGGAAACTGTATTCGGAAAGCAATGTTTAGTTAAGAGCAACTTAGAAGTCCAGAGATAGGAATGAGGCAATAAGCCTCATTCTTGTCACGTGCAAGAAAGGCAACGTTTATACAAGGCAAAGGTACGTCCGGCACCGTATAATTTAAGAAGCACTACACCATATTCATCTCGCTTTTAGTAGATAGTTTATGCTTTTGTTGAAATATTCTGGTTGGCCAGCACTCGGCACAGAAAACACAGGGGCAAACTGGATATCGTTTTCAAAAAAAGCGAAGTGGGCACAATTTTTACGGACTAAGGATTGAGCAAGGCTCAGGAAGTGTGGAGATAGTGGAGAAAACCGAACTTTGTGTTTTTAGCTCATCGAACGTTTTCAATATAGTGCGCACAATTTGGGATAGGGTTAGTCACATGCGTTACCAATCACACATAGCGCGGAAACTCATTGCTCCGCAAGAAAATGACTTACATGTTTGCAATTAACGGACAATAGACACAAAATCTGAGGTACATATGCGCATGAGGCGAACCACTTATAGATAATTACGAGCACTCAAATGGATGAAAGCCGTGGATATTTATTTTTCAAATCAAATGAGGTTTTGAATGAATGCCACTTAAAGTGGCACCGACTTTCACCAAGACTTTTCGACTCTCTATACGTAAATCTGATTTGCATATTCAGACTACATATCAGTAAGTGAAGTTTTAGATTTTTCGTGAATTAAGAAAAGGCCTTTGTTTTCAAAGTTCCCAGGCGCCAGCTCGTGTCGAGCCTTGTCGCGGACCTATCACATATTTATCGAGTTTATTTTAACCCTTTCGGACCTGAGTTATTGCGAGTGAGCAAGGAAGTCTCTCTTCTATTGTTTTTTACTTACTACCAAATGAATAACATTGTAGCGGAGTTTGAAGATTTTAAATCTTATAAACTATTTCTTGTTGATTTTTTCGATTTTTTGGTTTTGCGGTTTATTTTTGATTTCAAATCTTCCTCAATACATGTAGAACCGCGAACAGTTAGAAACTACATTTGCACAACATTGTACTCAAAATCCTGATGATATCATGGCTAATTTCCGGCTAATAAATGAGATTACCGACATAGCGCTGAGGCTGGCGCAAGTTATTGAATGGTTGCAATCCACTTGTATACAGAAATTTATGTATTGCTGAGAGAAGGAAGGGGAGAGCGGTTTCAAAGCTATATTTGAAAGGCAGAGGCTATACGAGTCGATCTATAGTAGTGGGTATTAAAAATATGATCTTGCACCAGTACAGCAGGTCTCTCGATTGATGGTGGCAGTTGCCACCATCAGGTCCAAAAGGGTTGAAGAGCTTGCAGTGTCCCGACAGATTCGAGTCGGGAGGTATAAGTACGGTGGGATTCCTGGCCATGCCACTGAACTGCACCCTACTGCATGACATTACCTCCGCCTCGAGAAAACTGCTCTAAAATTGGCGCGCGCACTACCCCTCTATGTACCTATCCCGCGTGGGATGGCCACGGGCCTTCCTGCACTGTGCATGCATCCAGTACAAAAATTAAAAGCGGCAGATTTTTGTGCCAAGGCCTTCCGATTTCCCATAAAAACTCTCGTCTCAGCTTTCTTTTTGGGAAGTGTGAACGCCCTGGGACGGTCGTTTCACCCGATTTGAAGCTCAGTTTCGGGATCTAAACGATAAGGCCCGAAGTATACAGAAAGATCGAAATGCAAAATCTGCCGGGACACTGCCTTCAAAGAGTTAATCTGGAGTTCTGAAAAAGCTTGAAAAATCTCGTAATTATTTGCAATAGCAAAACAATTCACTTGCGCAGTTTTATAATCAATCTATTGTTTTCTTGACTATTTGTCTTACTACTAACCATACTATTATGGTTCGGCTTGTGCAAAATGGTAGCAAATCTGCTTCTAGATATTTAGCCCACTCTCATATTGAGATCAACCACCTGGATCCGGAGGACTAGGTGACACTGCTCCTTTCATGACCGACGTCGGAGGAGGTGGTGGAGCAGCAGGCATCATTACTTTGGGAGACTCATTCTTTGGCGGTCCCGACAAAGATGGCGGAGGAGGCGGTGGAAGTGGAACAGAATTTCTCGTAGGTGGTTGTGGTGCTGAATATCCAGGTTAAAAAATTTCAACTCAATAGTTACAAGAAGAAAGAGTATTCTATGTAAGTGGATTGTATCTCTTCGTGGGTTATCACTATACATATAGAAAACTGGGTGTTGGTAAATTGTTAGCTATGTATGAGCTATAGAAATTCTTGTATGTGGACCAATCAGCGCCAAACTTTGCACACATATGTTTTCGGCACCTGGTCCACCCTAGCTACTTCTCGCAGCGAAATTCCCAGCCAACCTTCGTGTAAACAGTAGCGAATCGTTTTCATACTAAAATGAGAGAAGGCGTAATTCAAGATGTGGTCCAGCAGGTATCTCCCTGAGTTACAGGTGTAGAAGAAAGCTAAAACGCAGATAAGTTGAGATTTTAGAGTTGAGCACCTTTGCTCTTTGTTGTTCCAGTTGAAAACACTATGCAAGCAAAGCCGGGCACCCAGGTAGTTATATTAGAATGTCTCATGATTTTTCACCTCTTTTCGTATTTTTCCTTCAACTGATGTGGCCAAAGTAATCATTCGACAGAGCAAAGAAGCTCTACAATTTGGTTATGAAAAGTCGCAAAAAAAATCATATTCCACGTAAAGTTTTGAGCTAAACTATGATAGCGGTCGAAAACGAACTTTACCGTCAAAAATTATATATCCGCGCCGAAAAATCTCTAACATTCCCCATTTGTCCTAGCATATGCTTGGCACATCGAATATTCAATTGTACACTTTTCTTATTTTTTTTCAAGGCTAGAAATAAAAAAAATAAATGAAGTAAAATGGCAAACTCCATCCTTAGACTTCCTAAGCCCCTCCCACGTTCGTGATAATATAGCTCAGACGTACAAGAAGTACGATCACGTGTTTGTATCCTTTGTAAGTGCCCAGTTCTCGGAAAATGCTGATGTTTGGGGTAAGATCGGTAAAAAATTATGAGACACCCCAATATTTATATTCATAAATCTTACAAAACTCGTAGGTCAAATTACAAATTCTAATCTATTTGTCAGCCCATCTGTCGTAGCTAGTCAATTATGACCCACCACTTTCTTTCCCTGTGATTCCGAACTGCAAAGCTCGAAGAACCAAGTCCGCTTCATCCTGAAATTCTATGCATGCAAGCTGGACAAGAAAATATGCCGCGAAACCTCGGTTTTTATTCCATGAAGAGTGTCGACAAACTTCTCCAAGAGCACTTTACGTTTTTTGCAAGTGCGATCGTCGAGAATCAACGTGTATAGATTTGAGATCAAGGGCCATAGAGAATCCGGCTAAATGCTAATGATCTAGTTGCCATTTAAAATCAACCCTACTAAATTCTTTCTTGCATACGCAAATCAAGGATTTTACACTTACCGATGTCATTACACAAGCATCTTCACAGCAAACGCTTCTTTCTACGATAGATTCGTCTTTGTCATTTTTTAAAAGGCGCTGAAAGTGTTCGATCTCATTCAGTACTGCAGGATCAGCTCCGTAACTAAAATAATGTAGAACTATACCATTTATGTGAGGGTGTAATACAGTGCTGGCCATAATTATGAAGCCACTCTGGAAATCGTCGTAATTTTCGTTATTTTCAATAAATCGGTGTGAAACTTTGCCGTATTGTGCGCATGTCAACCTTCCATGATCCCTCAAAACGGTTCCAGTCTAGTTGAATTTGAACGGAGAAAAACGAAAAAATTTGAAAAGGCCCTTAATGAAAGCTGGACAAAATTCTAAAGCCACCTGTTTCTCTAATCACTATTGCATTCCCTGGCTCTCAAATTTTTTTTTTGCAAATTACATCCTAAAATATGAAACATTTGCAACACCTATCGTCCTACTCAAATAGAAGCGATCACTGCCTGATATTGACGGACAGACTCCAACCTCACCATAAGGTTGTTACGTTTTTACTCCACAAAACTCTGTTTGCAATGTTCATGAGGCGCCTGGATTTGATCTATCACACTGCCTACATAGTGATGCAGCTTTTGCAACAATCAGACTTTCCCTAGTGATGCAGTTGCGATTTAGAACTGAAAAACTTTTCACGAAAACTCCCTGCGAGCAGATGATTCGATAAAACCTTAGATCTCCTTATTTCCCTCTGTTTTCAGGCCATATCTTACACGATAAATGAGATTAGCTAAGATTTAGTTTTAAGCGTCTCCTGTTTTATCTCGTAATCTGACTTGGCTTTGATTGTACAGGGTGCTCCACTTAACATTCAGCGGATGTCAACTGCGGCTAACCAGAGTGCTCAATCCCGAAATTTTTTCCTAGCCATGCGCACAAGTTCACTCTTGTATGGCTATCGTAATGGCTACATTACAGTATTTTCCGTTGCTTGAAAATCGAGTTTTGTGGTGCAGAATTGCGTCAACCCTATGGTGAGGTTGGAGTTTGCCCGTCAATATCAGCGACTACGCAAAGTTTATGAGAGCGGCCTTCACCTCATTTATCAAAAGGGATCAGTAGATTTTATGACTACCATTTGAAATAAACAAGAGATTGAAAACTCCTTAAAACAGCTGTTTGTTGAAACAGATTGACTTTTGATGCTTTTGAAAGCAAGAACTGCATGATCACTGATCGCTTCTATTTGAGTAAGATGACAAGCCGTGGGTGTTGCAAATGTTTCATATTTTGGGATGTAATTGTACAAAAAAAATTTGAGAGTCAACGAATGCGATAGTGACTAGAAAAACCAGGTGGCTTTATGATTTTGTTCATTTCATTGCTTTCATTAAGGGCTTTTTCAAATTTTTTCGTTTTTCTCCGCTCAAACTCAACAAGACTGCAGCCGTTTTGAAGGGTCATGTTAGGTTAACATGCGCACAATACAGCAAAGTTTCAGACAAATTCATCAACAAAAACGAAAATTACGACGATTTCTAGAATGGCTTTATAATTATGGCCAGCACGGTATGTACTGCTCACACTTCCAATCAGAATTTTTTGACTATCATATAGCATGATTTCAGTCAAAAGTTTTTTTAGAACCTACAGGAAATGTATAAGAGCACATTTTCTATAGACAAAATTGTAGCAGTCTACTTGTATATTCACAGGCTTTTTATGTTATTTAGCCAGTTTTTCCCAAGTAGATAGATTTCCCATTCACATTCGTGATTGAATGACCATCGCCATGCATATGAGAAGAGGTGAAATTCAAAGATCGATAAAATTCAGTCGTTAAATTTGTTTCGAAAGAAGGGGCAAGAATAAGCCAGGGTTTGACTTTTTGATAAATAATCTACAGATTGTGTCAAAAACTGTGTATGATAGATGTGAGAAATAAGGAAGCGTAAAGAGAGCCAGGCCTACCTGAATGCGTCCACCTTACCTTAATTGCTCCAGTTTGTTGGCGTATTGCAATCCTGAAAAGACGTTATATCGGCAATGAAAGATTTTCCTCTGCTGGGAAGGAATTAAAAGTCTGAGCTATTGCAAAGAGTGCTATACTAGTTCGTGTATGCGTATGGTGAAGGTCTGATTCATACAATGAATATGCAATTTCTGACCTTCGTACAACCTAGTTAATATGCAGCACTGCTATAATTTGGCAGCGGTGCAAGTAAAGCAAGTGCAGTAGAAAAAATCAAGCGCAAAAGGCACTTATAAGTTTTTGAGATAACGGCATTTGAGCAAGTATTGTTGTCCCAGTAACGGGCTAAAAATATAACACCAATATGGGTCTTATGATAAATGAAATAATAAAGTCTATTTAATTTCTCGACATTTACGTAATTGACGTTCTTAACTTTGCTTTTTTGAATTCGATTACGACGTACTCAATGACTGGTTCAGGTTGAAGCAATCTAATTTGTCTAAGAGTTTGCGTATATACTAGTGACCTTATATTGCTTTTCAGAAGATTTGATCGAGACTGCAGAATTGCAAATTATTTTACCATATCCCACATCAACTGTAAGAAATTTCGCAGGGTTCTGGATAGAGAGCGAAGCAGGGCTGATGATCGTCCAAAAAACGGATGATTCTGAGGTGCCCTGTACTAATATAAGAATTTATAAATAAAAATTTCGGCTAAGAGACGCACATCGCTGTATCTGTTTGTGAAACGTCTAGAGCGTTTTTTCCTTGCACCAAAAAAAATTGCGTGACTCATGTCTGACAAAATCCCACAAGGATAGGAGTAGTACGAGAAAGGCAGCGATTTATTCTTACCTAACAGATTCTAAATTGAAGCCGAGAAAATATGATACATATGTTATGCCACTGTTTACATTCAATGTCAATTACTTCTCTTGGAAAGCTGTTCAATGGAGGTAGTGAATGTAATTCAATAAATTGTTCTGTGAATGCAGAAGCGATATATAGCTATGTGCGTAGTATAGACTGTAGTGCTAGTCTTGACCCTTACAAAGCTTATGTAAATCCTCTGCGATAAAATCTGCTTTATCGCTGAGTCATAATAGGACTACATTCAATCATAATCAAATTTAGCGTATAATAGTTTTGAGCAAGTCAGTAATACGCAGGCGCACGATAATAGTCCATAGCAATAGCATGAGAAATGTTTAAACAATTCTCTTTGACAAAAAGGATTAAATAACTTTTCCTAATGGACATGAATAATGAAGGCTTTTTGTCAAACACAGATATTGCTTCAGAATGTATTAGCTCAATCACCAGCATTTTAGCCGCTAGTTTGAAAACTTGATTCATTGTTCTTGTGCATTCTTCATAAACACATAAACGATAACTATAAGCTATAAAAAATATGTACTAGATTCACTTTCTATGTAGCAACATGTCAAACTTTGAGTTATAGCAAAGACTATCGTATTCTTGGATGCATACTCAAGAGCACTTGCTGGTGCTCGAATTTTTGTATAAAATCTCCAGTTGGAATCGCTAGCTTTAGCTTGCGCATTTTCCATGAAAATAGCAAATTATTAGCTCGTTTTGTGTCATCCAAAAATTTGCAAATTGCAAGGCCTCGAACAAAGAACAGAAGACCAAGTGAATATCATGGTATTGCCGTCTTACAAAAAAAAAGATATCAGGAGCGGCTTCTCGGAAAATTATTATTAAGTGACACAGGGTCACGATAGTGAACGTGCCAATAATCTTAGCGACCGGATTCGGCACTTACCCTACTTCCTGTTTACCTTTACAGAAAAGCCAATTACTTTTTTTTGTGAAAGATCTGGCAGATATTAGAAGTAAATCTAACATAAAACCAGCGTATTTTCCCAAGATGCGCATGATTTGCAATTTAAACTTGTTTGTAGCAAAAAAGCGAGTAGAGCAAAAAATCTTGCATTCATGCAATTTTTACACTATAATGGAGATACTATAAGACATAGCAGGCTTGGAAGCTTGGCATGTGACTTTATCACCACTACTAGCGTCCCAAAGGACGTAGCGATCTGCTGATCGTCATCCTCTCATGAGTAATTGCTACGAGCTGGAGTAACCATGAGTTCCGCTTGGGATTTGTGACTGCACTATTTTCGGTGATAAATTGCGGATGCTTTTGAGAACTTCGGAAAAAAACAACGATCAAAGTAACGGAACGAGCTACAACAATTTTTATGGGTTTTCGGGCAAAAACAACCCGTGCAGTCACATCTATTATTTCTCAATTTCGGCAAACATTTGTGAATTTATCTAAGCATGTAAAACAACTTTTAACTCAAGAGTCGAAAAAAAAACTGTATTTGGACTAAATATCTACAGCTTGACTGTCGTATGTACGAGAAACAATTTTTTCCAGCGAAAATGAAAGAAAAACTATTAGACCTGAGCCATTGAGCTAAACTTTTGAGTGACGTCAAGTGAGAAAGTTTGAGAATAATCTGAAGGGTTACTAATTTCCTTTCTTCCTAAAGTACTAGGTTGTCCCAAAAGTTTTGTCGGTTTCTTTGAACCACTATAAACCTACGCGCAATAAAGACGAATGAATGAACTGAGCTGAGTGAATGAGCCTCAACATGAATTTTATGCAGCTTTTCTTTCTCTTTCTTATGAATGCATTCACGAAACACAATCTTGTATGCTTATATTTATGAGTGCCAAAATTCTCCACTCTCAATTTCATCTGCTCAAAGTTAGGGTAATTTTTTAAGTTCCATTCCAAAGCTTCGGAAAGGGATCCTCGGACTACGATGTAGTATTTTTAGATTCTCCTAATCTTCCTTGGGAGGTTTCAACGAAAGTCGTGAAAAAGTCGTGAAACACGCAAATACAGCAAATGAGCAAAAGCCTCTGAAGTTTCTGCCAATTGAAAATGATTCTCACTGAACTTATTTGTGCAACATAAGCAAGTTTGATTTGATTTGAAAAAGCTGCTTTTTGGAATTTTCGGTAAATATTAGGTCGTTCCGAAAGTAATGTCGCTTTTTTTAAACGTATGCCACATCTCGTGGAACAAAGATGTGTAAGGGGTTCTGGAAGCATTTGATGCAGCATTTCATTCTCTTTCTAATGGTTATAAAGTTGTTGCAATAAAGTCAATGAGCTTCCAGAAGAGAGTCAAAATCTGCAACCTATGCTTTTTGAGATGGCCAAGTTTCACAATTTTTCTAAAATTTTATAACAAACCTTAGAAGGAGTCCAAGTAATGGATGGATGGAGCAAACCCTACAGAAAACAGCACAACTTTTTTCTACTTTCTAGAGCTCGTCATAATTTTTATACAAATTTTCGATAGAACCACCGAATTTTGACAGGCTCGTTTCAGCCACAAGTGCATCAAACGCCAACAAATCTTCGGATTTTGAAACTTACAAAGATGGATTTTGGTTTGGCAACAATTTCACAAACAAAACGAGCATTCATCGCTTCGGTTTAGCAACTTTCGAAAATTTCGGGTACACCTTAGGGTCCTGTGGAAAAGTTGAGTTATGAGATTTTATCTCGGAAAACTTGATGAATCGGAAACAAAAAACAATCGCTAGAAAGAGGAGAAAAAGCTGCATCGAATGACACCCGAGTCGCTTGCCGGTTGTTCTTCTGTGAGGTTTGACTTGACTAAGTATGGAATTTGATGGCATTGAGAAATTGATTGTAGAAACTCTGAGAAGCAAGCGGAAAAGAAAAAAATTACTTTGTGTTCTATAGTGTTTGCCCTATGTACCTGCCACTTATACTTTTTCGGAGATTAGGTACAATAATTTAGAAAAATAGCCGAACTTGACCATGGCAAAAAGCATGAGTCGCAGATTTTAATAATTTTTCGAGAGCTCATTGAAAATTATGCAGTGGTATTGAAACCGTTAGAAAGAGGATGAAATGCTGCATCGAATGCTCCTAAGATCTCTTGAAAATGTTGATCCCACGAGTAGTGGCGTTCATTTGAAAAAAGCGACATTACTTTTGGAACGACCTAATATATTAGGTTGGCACGAAAGTTTTTGCGTAATTCAAACAAAATTCAATAACTTTTGAAAGACTCAACCTAAATTCGCAATCTTGTATGCTGAAAATATTAGAAGTCTTACGCTTCATGATGGATGTTGCATAAGATTCCGTGAGCTGGACATCAAGAACGAAGCTCTCGAATATGGGGTTTCCAATTTTGCGATTTTGAGTTTGGTGCCAGAAAATCGCAGAGTGCCGCTAGCTAGCCGAAAAAAATCTGTAGAATTTACTTACACAACAAAAGTCCATATCTTACTTTGGAAGGCATTGATCTTGCACGGTAAAGCAAAAACAAAAAATTCGTGAAATAAGTCATTTTGCGGAAAAAATCCCCTCATGTCCGCAGTATTCGGCGAAAACACTTTTTTACAATCGAGAAAACGTCGCAAGGCTCTAAATAGGCACTATGTCTAATTTCTGGTCTCAAACTGTGTTTCTGTGAAAGAGTTAGAGCGATAAGGGGATTTGTCCTGTGAAATGAGAATTTTCACAAATTTTTTGTTTTCGCGTTTCCATACGAGATCAAATTCTGCTAAAACAACGTATGGACTTTTGCTGTGTAAGCAAATTCTACAGATTTTTTTCGGCTAGCTAGCGGCACTCTGCGATTTTCTGGCACCAAACTCAAAATCGCAAAATTTGAAGCGCCATATTTGAGAGCTTCGTTCTTGATGTCCAGCTCACGGAATCTTACGGTTAAACCATCATGAAGCGTAAGGCTTCTAATATTTTTAGCATACAAGATTGTGAATTTAGGTTTAGTCTTTGAAAAGTTATTGAATTTTATTTGAATTACGCAAGAACTTTCGTGCCAACCTAATATATGCGTGCTAAACGTAATCAAAAACAGACGTTTTTATCAAACAAATAATTATAAAGGACTTGATAAACGTGGCCCATGTAAACTAAAATGAGTACAAAATAGCCAAAGGTTTGCTCTACGTAACAGTAAGCGCTCTTTGAAAACGTCAGGATAAAAGTTTTTGAAAGTTAGGAAAATTTGGCGTTAGTGCTGAGCTGCTCAAAAAGCCATGGCGATAACATAGCAAATACAAGATAGATCAGGGATCAAATGCAGCGTAAGAAAGGGGATAAAAATCTGACTCGAATGATGCCTAAGTTGTCCATAGACTTGAGTTCTGTGAATTTTAGTGAGCGATGAAAAAAAAAACGGACAAAACTTTCTGGGCAACCTAATATATGGTTCCATAGTCATATGCCTATCAGCTGCAAAGCTTTTGAACAGCTCATTGGTGCTAAAAACACGTGCTTGCTTGCTGAAAGGAGCCCCTCAAATACATTCTACTAATCTATTCTTCTGACTAGACGGAAAAAAGATTTTTAACAGTATTCTACGCAGACCAAAGTGGTAATAAAAGAAGGCAGATAGCGAATCATGTAATAAAACGATTGAAAGTACAGACAAAGATGTAATGACTACAATAATGATCCAAAGTCCCATAATGATGTACTTCAAGAAAGTAAGAGGAGTAAGTGAAAATTATCGCCCTGCTTTCCGAAAGAAAATTAGAATGTCTTTTTTATAAAATTATTTTCAATTTTGGTTTTCTTTGTGTAATTACGTAGTAAAAACTTCTGATCTTGCATTCTCGATGCTAACAATAGGACCTAAAAATTGAAGCAACTGGAAGTGACAAAAGCATGTTTTATTCAACATTCAGAAAGTCACGGTTCATCATAATATGTACCTGAGACTTTTCGAGGATAATTCCAGTGAAAAAAAATTCCTATTAAAGGAGTGAGTGTTATATTTTTCAGAATTGTACAAGAGCGTGCTTGACTTGGTTTCACTGTTGATCAGTCTCTGGCTGTCAAATTTTCGGAATCAAGTCCAAATCATTTATAACTACTTTTATGTTTTTTGCCTTATGCGTCACATTTTGAAGATTATGGTGCGTGGCTCACGGCAAATTAGTGTGAATAGTTTAAAGCAACTTCAATTCCCCAAAAATTTCAACTCTACTGCAAATAGATCACCTGAGAGTTCATTTTTTATCCTGAACGCTCGCGCTTTATCCGGCGCTTTTTGAATGAGCGCATTGACCACGCGCAATGCTCGAAGGACTACGGCCGCCTCGTCGTCTTCCAGGCACTCGAGCAGCGGCCGAAGTGCAGAGTCGGAACTGTCAATTAGATCCTGAAATCTGTTTTTTTCGCATCTCAAAGCAGGAATTCGGTGACGTGCCGCACCTGCCACGCTGCCACGCAGTCGACGACTTGTTCGAAGCCGTCTGGTTCGTCCAGTGACGACTGTAGAAGGTCTAGCGCCTCGGCGATCTCCGACTCTAGAAATCTTTTTGTACTTTTGGTGCAAAGGTGCAGCCGCAAGAAAAAAAAATAATAGGAGGATTATAAATAGTATAGTGGATTACGCAACAAACGTAGAGATACTTTAAAATCAGTTGCATAAAAGCAAAGGTTTGCCTTCTCAAATAAATAGATTCAATAAATCCGTTTGCAGTTACATAATACAGCCATTGACGAGGAAAAGACTATAGCGTATTTATGGGAGTATGAAGTTAAATCAACGCACACTGAAAAACTTTATCTAAGTGACTTTTTCTTTTCTTTTGAGAAAAGCTCTGATAGCTAATACATCTCATATTAGTAAATACATAGGATAGGAATTTTACATATGCATAATCTACTCCCTGTTATAAAAAGTGCAAAAAAGTTTTTCGCTTGAAGAAGGGGTACCGAAACTAGCATGTACATCTTGACCATGTTTTTTGTTCTCCTTTCATTTTTCTTGTTATGAACTTTTGCAAGGGTTGGAAGCATTGTGTTTTCCTTCGCATTGTAATTAACGCCCTTCTATAATTGAGCTGAAATTGACAAGAAGATCAACTTAAGGATTTACAAAAACCAAAGTTGTATATGTGACAGCTATGGAAAGTTCCAAGTTTTAGCTTTGATATGGGAAAAAATTGGTTGAAAAACTCTAAAAATTACTTATGTTACGCTAGTAAATCAAGAAAGCTATTCTAGTTATGAATTAACAAAGCTCATTGTCAGAACTGTCTGTTAACCAGCAATCTCTTTTGATTAGCTGAACCTGATTTCAGGATTGCTGTGCCTTAATTAATCATTCTGTAGTTTATTACCAGCAAAGTGTTGCTATATCTACGGAAACTTGTACAGGGCAGATACCAAGTGGTTAGCTCTATCATATCACGCAAACCAAAACAAAATCTTCGCTTTGCTAAACCTAGAAATGAGAGCTATAATTGTCACTGTAAGAATATGCGAGCCTGTTTGTTTCGTTTGCGTTAGAGCAGAGATGCTGTTGACAAAAGTGCTGAAATGGTATGGGATCTAAAAAGGTGAAGAACCTTTTTGCAAGGCCATCCTTCAAAAACAATTGTCAATTTATGCTTTTTAAACACACGCGAACAAAGAGTGCTAGTGCCTTTGTTGCAGGAGACGAGCTTCTAGATGCACTTGTTTACTTTTGCGCTCAGATCAAAGTTTTTTGGACCATCTCAGTTAACCACTACTACAAGGAAAAATGCGAGCAAGAACAAGTGTAGATTAATCTTAAAGATTTCGTAATGTGATTTTCATAAATACAGGTGATTCTTCCTGGAACATACAATAAATGATGTAACTTCGAGTCATTATTAACTTAATATGTGAGACTGCACACTAAGCCCTATTAGCGACGGCACCCTTACTGGTAATTTCCAGTGAAACATTTTCTAGCCTAATTAAATGTAGAAATGCGATCTACTGGCTGACATATGACCAACAAAAAGAAAAGAAACAAAGGAACATTGGGGCAATCACTGGAAATAGGCAGGTTCTATTTAGCAATTCGTCATTTAGCATGTATAGTGTGCAATATGCATATTATGTTACAAATGACTCGACGATATTTGATAGATAGGTATACTAGGTAAAAAACAAAAGAACTACACCACTTATTTGCCCAATTTGAGGTACGCTCTTGCAGAACAAACTTTAGAAATGTTTATTTAGCAGTATATTCGTTAAATATCCGCGGAAGAACTAGGGAGATTTTGAGGGAGTATGTGAAAGCCAATTTTTTAAGAAATTATGGTTACTTTGCTCTGGAACTCTGCCATAATCTAGATGTATTACTTCATGTGCGAGAGACTACATACAAGGCAAATAGAAAAAATTTAAAACTTCAGAAGTAGAAAATGCGTGATCTTTTTGTGAACAGTTTGACTCGGAATGTTAGAGAATTATGAACATATCTTCTTGATCAAAAGAAAAAGAATTGGCTTCAATAGGAAGAGATTAGCCTTTTGAGCGAATTCAACATCTCATTGTTGCTTTGAATGAAAGAAATTGCAAGAGAAAATTTGTACTTACCAAATATGAGCTGCATGAATCGAGACTGAATTGAGGTGGCCATCCTCCAGCTCTTCAAAACCGAATGGTTCCCAGGGATGACAATCTGAAGAGACAATGATGGCACTAAACCCAAAGGGGAGGACTTAAGAACATGGTAGGGGCGTAACGATCAAAAGAAAACAGAAACGTTCGAAATTGTGACGGCTAGCTGGCTAGTTTGATTTGTCTGGACACAATAGCTCTCGTAACCAACCAAACAACCATTTATTTGCGATTCAAATGATGGTTTCCGAGGAAAGGGACTTTGGAGCAGAAGAGGAGGCGACGGATTGAGACCGGATTCATATCTCACACACACTCATTCCCTCGATTGGGTATTCCCATTGGATTTGCTCGGGTTTTTTTCGCGGGTGCTATCGGATTACAGTTCATGTTCATCACAATGGTTTTGGAGAGGCAGTAACGTAGTTACGTTTATTTAATAGTACTAGCATAGGTTTTCCACTCAAAATTTTGCACCGAGAATCTTCTTCGCAATCAAATTCGAAGATAGCGTTTGTGGAAAGTTCTCTCAGGTAAGGATACAAAGATAGTGATCAGAAAGTAAACTTTTCCAGATAATATGTACACAAAAACTGCTAAAGAATATTTACACGGTCAGATATAATAGAAAACATTGTTAGAACATTTTTCGGATTTCGTTTACGACATTAAAGAAGATTTTCTCACATTTCAGAAAAAAGCTGGGTAAAATTTTTCACATCCAGATACAACAAACTAATCAGGAAATGTTTCATATTTCAGCAAAAATTTATATTTATATTAGTTATACTAATTTATTTATTAGCATTTACATTTCAGCATTTTTCATATTTCACAAAAAATTTATCAAATTTCGCATAGGAGGAATTAGCAGAGAAAAAATGTTTTAACCGCATGCGAGGAAATGGCAACGAGATTTTCACATTCCAGATATAAAAATGCTACTAGAAGCTTTTTATCTCAAATTTCAGAAGATCTTAGATTCCACATTTTCGGGTTCCACATTCATAAGGCAGCAGAGGAAAAAAGATCTCCATTACGATCACGAGTCTCTCAGAAATTTTTACTTACAAAAAGAGATTATTTGGAAAATTTCCTTAGGTCTCACAATAGAAAATTCGCAAAGAAAATATTTTATTTGACATACAAAGATATTACCAAGTTCCTCTTCACATTCTAGAAGAATGTGCTCAAAAATTTTCCTTCAACTCTATACGAGAAGAAAAATGCAGAGAACACTTTTTCCATATTGCACATGCGATAAGTCGAGTAAGAAAATTTCTTTCTCATTCCACTTATAAAAAAAAGTCGAGGAATGTTTTTCCACACTCCGCATACGAAATTATGAGTCTAAGGGAATATTCTCGCATGTGAAGGTGTGGATATGTGTGAGAGCGGCGCAAATCGTAGTCAGCAAATAAGCAAATAGCCTCTTTATGATGGACTATGACGACTTGATGGCGGTGATGAAACGGAACAACAGCGACTAGCACAAAAAACCGATCAACAATCATCGTAATTTTCTCTGGGGACGAAAAGAAGAAAAACAGGGACAACCTCATGAGGCTAGTCAACATCATCATTATTTTCTTCAAAGAGTAGAGGAAGCCTCATGAGAACAAAATTTGCCGCGTTTAGGGAAAAGTTTTCTCAAAAAAGCACCTTATGCAGTTATATTAGGTTGGCTGGAAAGTTCTCGGACATTTTCAAGCTAGACTTGCTATTTCTCGAAGCCTAATGCATATGCAACCTCGGAAATCTGCAGCTATACTCACTCTCGCTTGTAGCTGGTGTCTAAGCAAGTGGGAGGAGCCTGGATCAATGGGGGCGGAGTCTGCCACTTTTCAATTACCTCGTTTTTCTTGTTGTACGAGCTCAAATTCCGTACAAACACTGCATATAATTATCATGTGGGCGCTTTATAACTTTTATAAAAGTTAGATATCTGGATTAGTTCAAGATCCTATGCTTTGGAATTTTCGCCTGAAATCTCACAGAAAATATCAATAATGCTTGTACTTACTATAATTTTGTAGAGATTGCTTTCAAGGGTATGCAGTACACCCCAATAGTGCTTGAATCGAAAAAAACTTTGTCTAATTACAATTTCTGAGAACTTTCGAGCCAATCTAATATGTCATTTGGCACGTGATCAACTTTAAATAGACAGAATATCTCATCGCCAACTGCATTTTTTTCTCCTAAATGTCCAGCAGATTTCGCTGCCTTCCCACTTCACTTAGCAAACAGACTTAGCAAAGATTTTCACGCACAATGTAATTTTCGGGATTCCAAATTCTTCGGACTGGATTCGATTCCGAAATAGAAACACACTTGTGATAAAGCGTTTTTTATTTCTGCGCCAAAAATCAACAGAGATTAGCACGTTTCCAAAATAGCTTGATAGTTATAGTAATTATAATAATTAATGATAAGAATTGTGATGATAATGGTAGCGATAAAAATAGTATTGATAACAATGATCATAATGATATTTGCAATATTGATAATACCCTAATTTCACAGTACAAGGCGCGCGGGATTTCTAAATCCACCAGCCCAAACACGCCAAAGGGCTTCGCAACCAAAGGACCCCATACCTGCTTTTTATTGCTTGAGAATGCGGCATAAAAATCGCTCTCCGAAACGCAGTGAAACGGCTGAGCGGTTTACTTGAAAAATCGAAAGTGCATACTGTAGGCGTGAAATTAATGTAGTAAGTTGGTAATGAGTTCTATTCATTCTGAAGAGTTATATGGTGTATTTTATAGGAAAAAAGTTTGGGAAAAATGACAAAGATTAGGTTAATGCACATTTCTTGCACCAAAAAAACACAAAAATCATCCAAAAATGCTTGAACAAACCAATAAATTTACTCTTTTGAAAATTCAAAATGAAAATTAATGTCTAGAATCAAATTCATAACTATCCCTAGAGACATCCAGTCACTAACATTTCCTCTCAGTCAAAAAGAGTAGTTCATGAAACCAAGATCAAAAATAAATTTGAATATCAGGAGACGTTCTAGCAACCAAAAATTTGAAAGTCATTTTTTGAATTTTTCTCAAAATCGGCTTGAATCATTGCCATGGGTCCTCAAGGAATTTCAGTTTTAGTATTTGCTACAAGATTTTCTCTTTCTATCATGAATCAAATTAGTAGATTTCATTGAAGTCGGAGAAAGTAATAACTTCGCAAATTTTGAAGTAAGAACTATGCATCAACCTAATATAAGAAAATCGTGCATTCCTTTTCTAAGCACAAGAACATTTGAAGAATATATTGAATGGGTATCACATAGCCGAATGATACAAATCAGCTGTGAATTTGCCGCGAAATGCTCAAGTCCTCCCGTCCCCATTCATTTCTTTCTTCATCTTCCCCATCCTCCATACTCCTCTTGAAGTTTGTTCCAACAGGCTCCGTAATACAAGCGAGTTTGACAAGAAACAAGAGAAACTCCACTTTCGAGAAAAGCTAACCAGCTCAGGAAAGAAACTTTCAAGCTCTTGATAATGTCACTTTTCTGTGGCAAGTTTTTTTTAGAATCTTCACAGCTCTCAACTTCCAGCCTACACTAGTGTTTCAAGTCTGTCTGTTTCGTAGAATTGAGCTTACTAGTTAAATGCGCAGGAGGAGCAGTATAGAAGGTTTTGGAGAGAAAACTGTAGCTCTCAAGAGACTACAGGTGTTAAAATTACGGTAACTGTTTGTTCCGCAGTGTTTTCAGGTAACATTTGCGACGGGGGGGGGGGGGGGGGAGGAGGGGGGAGATGGCTTCTAATCAAAATCTCTTCGATATGAAAACACAGAGAATAACTTTCTGCTTCACAAACCTATATCGGAATCGAGCACAGTCCGAAGAAATTGGAAAGCTGAAAATTGGATTGTGCGTGAAAATCTTTTCTGAGTCTGTTTGCTAAGTGAAGTGGGGGCAGAAAAATCTGCTGGAATATTGAGAAGGAAAAAGTGACGCTGGCTATGACTGGAGCCCTATTGTATATATGAAGTGTACTAATATACTTATCGTGGAGAGAATTTAAAATGTAACAAAACTTATGTTACAACCTCCTAGAATGATCTATCATAGAACTAATCATCATAAACTTAGTGCTTCATTCCTGTCATGAGATCTAACTGAACCTATGTATGCTTTATAGTATTAGGCTTCTTAGACTTTCTACTGTGTTCTCAGCTCTGCCTCTTAGGAAAAGATTTCGCTTCCTCTTTGAGTTATGTCTGTTATAAATTAGATAATTTATTTATAGAGAAACTGAATATGTTTTCGTATAGGTTAAAATAAATATACACAAAAAATTTACGAGGGAGAGGGAAGTATTAGGTCAATGCACGACTCTTGCACCAAAAAATTGGAAAAAAAATTTCTTCTAAAATGCTTAAGCAGACTAATCAACCTACAGGGTTACAGGGTATGCTCTTTGTTATGTGTATTAAAAGTAGTATTTTATAGCACATTTTAGAAAATCAACATGAAACGAAATCAATAAGTTAGTTTAAAAAAAATCGAAATTCGTCTATTCGCAGAGGCATTCAATGATTGTCAACTTCTCTCGTTCAGACAGAGCATGTCATTAAACTTATTGTTAGACCAAAAATAAAATAAAATTCTAGTAGACGTTCCAGCAATTTTAGTGACCAAAAATCGAAAACCGCATTTTAGATATTTCTCTTTTTCACCTTATATCGTTGGCATGTGCTTTCAAAAAATTTTGTTTCGAGCACCTTCAGAAAGGGCAAGATTTGCTCTCTCCACATTATGTATCAGAACAGAATAGATACCATCGAAGTATGAAAAAACAGAATTTCAAAAATCTTGATGCAAGAATTATGAATCAACCGAATAGGTAAATAAACTTACTCTAGCTCTTTCACAAAATATTTCAAATGATATGGACGTAACTACAAGAAAGCATAGGAAAGACCGTATAAGATGCGAAACATGGCTCGTTTCTCTGTTATTATTCCTCGAGATTTAATGCGCAGTAGAAAAAAATGAAAAGACTTCCGGAACTGCTTTATGTTTCATCGGTGAAAGGAGCTG